AAAAAAATAGTTGATTCATGAGATGAAGCAATTTTTTGAACACTAGTCTTCGCTAGTAAATTTAACGATTTTGCAGATCTATGCATAAAATCTGCACTACTAGTTTTTATTATAAACCTTACATAGATTTGATTAATTAGTATATCGAAAACCCCATTGGTGCATGATTTACGATCTTATTGTTTCAATCGGGGGGCTTTGCGCACATTTTTCACGGGGAGCGTCATTCGATTTTATGGGTCCTGGTGCACTGATTCTCAACGGTCCTTTTGAGTAACGATCGTGGTACGTTCGAGCGTCATTTCGAAAGTTTCTTGAGTCTTGGAATGTTTCTGGTTTTGCCTTACAATGTAAATAAAGCATTACGATAATATTTTTCGAATAAAAGAATTTAATGATTATAACTACTTTTATAACTCGAGAGAATTTGAGTAATGCGAGTGAAAGAATTTAATGATTATAAACTACTTTTATAACTCGAGAGAATCTGAGTAATGCGAGTGAAAGAATTAAAGTAATGATCACGAAACATATCAATGCCTGAAAAAGTTTTTTTTTTTTTTTAACTCAATATCAAATAATAGTATAGCTTTAATTAGATTAACGCGCTAACTTTACAACTGATAAAACTTTACAACTGATAGAAGCTACATAAATATGGAAAGGTAAAATTGGAAAATGTAATTATATATAAATGAGATCCTAATTTTGAATTTTTAAACTTTCTAACAAGCTAATCGCCTTTTCGTTATTATGACTTGCTGCTAGTTCTAAATATTTATAGCCAAGTTCTTCATTCTTTTCCACCACCCCAGGTTTTCCATTTAAATAGAGATCTCCTAAAAAAAACATTGCTTTGTTATTATTAAGCTTTGCTGCTGATTCTAAATAATCTAAACCAAGTTGTTCATTCTTTTCCACCCGAAGTTTTCCGTTAAAGTAAATATCCCCTAAAGAATACATCGCATTACTATTTTTATTGTCAGCTGCGGATTTATGATAACGTACAATTGTATCATATTTTTCTTTTTTTGTCTCTTCATCATCATCTTTGCTAAGATTAGTAAGTAATAAAATAGCATATCGATACTGTGCATCAATATGACCATAATCGGCAGCTTCTTTAAAAAGTTCCATGGCCTTCGGCAGATTTATTTTAACAACATCATACCCGTGAGTTAAATAATAGGCTTTCCAGTATATTGCTTTTTTATTTCCAAGTTTTGCATTATCCTCAAAACATCTCCATGCCATTTTATGCTTTTTACTTTGATGATATCTGACTCCGTCCTCAAGAGAAATTAATGTGTAGTTTTTCGAATTATTTTCAAATAATAGTTGCTCTTCTGAGGAATTTAGGTAAGATGCTGATTCATTCTCCTCATCTTCAAAGCTTATTGGTTTATTTTTATTTAGTAGTGGTTCATCTAAACCAACAGGGTATGTTTTGGTTAATTTTTTTCAAGTTTATCATTTAATTTTGTAATTTCCATTCGATGATATGGTTTATGTTGCCATGCTAATTATAAATTATTATTAGTTAAGTATAAGTAAGTTAAAAATAATAACGATGCACAAAAATAAAATAAACTTACTTTTTTCGATAAGTTTAATAAATTCTTCTTGAATTTGTTTATCATCATTTTCAAATTTTCCACGTAAAAGTTTTTCTCTTTTGCCACTCATAACGTGATCAGAAATCTTTTTGAAATTCCATCCTTTATACGGAATTTTTTCATAACAAAGTTCCCAGATAAGCATTCCAAAACTAATTATAAAATTATAAAATTATTAAAATAATGTTTCAAGTTTAATTAAATGATCCTTATTAAACGATAAATACGATAAATACGATAAATACCTAAATAATTCACAATGAAAAGTATATGTGATTTCATCACGTCTATCATCAATGTATTTTTCAATGTATTCTAATAGCTCGGGAGCCACCCAATGCACAATATCTATTATCGTAGAACGATAATTGCTAGGGGGCCCATCTGCATCTCTTAACATTAGAAATTTCCCAATTTTTGGTTCCAGGTCATCTCGTATCTATTATTTAACTCATTAGTAATTAGTAATTTTTATATTTAACATTTTAATTAAATTAATTAAACTTACAAAAATATTTTTTACACCTAAGGTCGTAATGGAAAATATTTGCACTACGTAAAAATACAAGGCCACGACTGATACCTCGAATAATTTTTAGTTTTCTAGACCAAGGAATATCAAATTTTTCATAAAGATTTTTTAAAGTTCCATATTCAGCCCAATCAAGAATCATATAATCAAAGTTATTAAGCTTTGAAATGCCATAAAAACGAAGGATATATGGTGATTGACATAATTTTCCAAGTAATGCTAATTCACTTTCAAAATTTTTAGAATCTTTCATAATTTTGCATGCAACTTCAATCGTACCATAAAACTGTTTAATAATATTATTACGAAGGTCGTTATCAGTTGGTGGCGTTGTATTTTTACGTAGTGCAAATATTTTCCATTACGACCTTAGGTGTAAAAAATATTTTTGTAAGTTTAATTAATTTAATTAAAATGTTAAATATAAAAATTACTAATTACTAATGAGTTAAATAATAGATACGAGATGACCTGGAACCAAAAATTGGGAAATTTCTAATGTTAAGAGATGCAGATGGGCCCCCTAGCAATTATCGTTCTACGATAATAGATATTGTGCATTGGGTGGCTCCCGAGCTATTAGAATACATTGAAAAATACATTGATGATAGACGTGATGAAATCACATATACTTTTCATTGTGAATTATTTAGGTATTTATCGTATTTATCGTATTTATCGTTTAATAAGGATCATTTAATTAAACTTGAAACATTATTTTAATAATTTTATAATTTTATAATTAGTTTTGGAATGCTTATCTGGGAACTTTGTTATGAAAAAATTCCGTATAAAGGATGGAATTTCAAAAAGATTTCTGATCACGTTATGAGTGGCAAAAGAGAAAAACTTTTACGTGGAAAATTTGAAAATGATGATAAACAAATTCAAGAAGAATTTATTAAACTTATCGAAAAAAGTAAGTTTATTTTATTTTTGTGCATCGTTATTATTTTTAACTTACTTATACTTAACTAATAATAATTTATAATTAGCATGGCAACATAAACCATATCATCGAATGGAAATTACAAAATTAAATGATAAACTTGAAAAAAATTAACCAAAACATACCCTGTTGGTTTAGATGAACCACTACTAAATAAAAATAAACCAATAAGCTTTGAAGATGAGGAGAATGAATCAGCATCTTACCTAAATTCCTCAGAAGAGCAACTATTATTTGAAAATAATTCGAAAAACTACACATTAATTTCTCTTGAGGACGGAGTCAGATATCATCAAAGTAAAAAGCATAAAATGGCATGGAGATGTTTTGAGGATAATGCAAAACTTGGAAATAAAAAAGCAATATACTGGAAAGCCTATTATTTAACTCACGGGTATGATGTTGTTAAAATAAATCTGCCGAAGGCCATGGAACTTTTTAAAGAAGCTGCCGATTATGGTCATATTGATGCACAGTATCGATATGCTATTTTATTACTTACTAATCTTAGCAAAGATGATGATGAAGAGACAAAAAAAGAAAAATATGATACAATTGTACGTTATCATAAATCCGCAGCTGACAATAAAAATAGTAATGCGATGTATTCTTTAGGGGATATTTACTTTAACGGAAAACTTCGGGTGGAAAAGAATGAACAACTTGGTTTAGATTATTTAGAATCAGCAGCAAAGCTTAATAATAACAAAGCAATGTTTTTTTTAGGAGATCTCTATTTAAATGGAAAACCTGGGGTGGTGGAAAAGAATGAAGAACTTGGCTATAAATATTTAGAACTAGCAGCAAGTCATAATAACGAAAAGGCGATTAGCTTGTTAGAAAGTTTAAAAATTCAAAATTAGGATCTCATTTATATATAATTACATTTTCCAATTTTACCTTTCCATATTTATGTAGCTTCTATCAGTTGTAAAGTTTTATCAGTTGTAAAGTTAGCGCGTTAATCTAATTAAAGCTATACTATTATTTGATATTGAGTTAAAAAAAAAAAAAAACTTTTTCAGGCATTGATATGTTTCGTGATCATTACTTTAATTCTTTCACTCGCATTACTCAGATTCTCTCGAGTTATAAAAGTAGTTTATAATCATTAAATTCTTTCACTCGCATTACTCAAATTCTCTCGAGTTATAAAAGTAGTTATAATCATTAAATTCTTTTATTCGAAAAATATTATCGTAATGCTTTATTTACATTGTAAGGCAAAACCAGAAACATTCCAAGACTCAAGAAACTTTCGAAATGACGCTCGAACGTACCACGATCGTTACTCAAAAGGACCGTTGAGAATCAGTGCACCAGGACCCATAAAATCGAATGACGCTCCCCGTGAAAAATGTGCGCAAAGCCCCCCGATTGAAACAATAAGATCGTAAATCATGCACCAATGGGGTTTTCGATATACTAATTAATCAAATCTATGTAAGGTTTATAATAAAAACTAGTAGTGCAGATTTTATGCATAGATCTGCAAAATCGTTAAATTTACTAGCGAAGACTAGTGTTCAAAAAATTGCTTCATCTCATGAATCAACTATTTTTTT